ATATATATATATATATATAACTCCATATCATTTCCGAAGTTCACTTCCAGTTCGTAAGCCTTGTTAATAGCCCGGTGGTCTAGAGATTACTTTTACCGATGAATGAGTAACCGGAGGAACCCAAGATGAACGAAGATAGTTGTGTATAAAGCTTAACTGTTGCAAGAGAGGTAGCATACGGTTCTCATCTGGATAGGCAGTTAGGCAAAATATTGCAAAAGTGGAACTAATCACTCTGCTGACCGAAGGCTCATGACCCGACGGTCACATCTTCTCTCACTGACCGGGTTTGAATCTCTCTGTAGTTTCATGAGGTGAGCACTGTTGATGATTCAAGAGAACAAGGGTGACGTAACTCTACGGTGCTTTCTATCTTTCAATGATTGAAAAATACTACTGAATTGAAATGAAGTTCCATTTTTATTGGAGCGTCGGACGATACACGGTAAAATATCGCTTTGTTACTAAGCCTAGACTAATCCTACTGCATAAGGGGAAAGATAAAACGCATAATCTTTTGGATTATAAAAGCTGAAGTTATCTGAAATGGATGAATTTGGGTCAGATTTGGGGGAAGGAATCCGGGTTGAATGATAATTCATTAACAGCGGTCATCATAACCACAACTAAAAGATCTCTTCGAATGTGGATCATGATCTCCATCGACCATGGTTTCCCGTAAAATCCTCCCTGCCGTGAAATACCTCACCTCTTTATGGTTTTTGATCGAAAGACTACTATTAATTTAGATTGATAATAATACCCTCCGTCATCTAATGAACGAATATGCGTTATCTATGGACAGAGCACGTTACTCATTAGGTTCCCGAGGACTACTCGACAGCCCATGACCGCCTTGGGGCTCATCAGGTAGGTGCAGTCCCCTTCAACCATAAATTCTGTTTGAACAACAAATTTTACCCTCACTAGCTAACTGATTCGGTGTTAACCGGAGAATCAACAAGTACTGTACGTTATTTTCCAGCTGGAGTGTCCCACAGAATTATATGGCTTGGTATGAGTAGAAGATTCATCTGAGTACCTTTGACATACAACTATGTTCCTTTTAACTATTATTTAGAACAAAAATTGGTGGGATTTTTTATTCATCAAAAAGCAACAAAGCCATTCACTTGCGCTAATTCTATCCCATCAGCTATAGTTCAGATGGCCAGTTTAGTTGGATGAATCTATCGACGCACCTTTAATTTATAGCTGATCGTAATACATTAAGGCCTAGATTAATCATCTGTTTATAGGTCTTTATTGTCTGTTCAAAACAGATGTAATCCTGAATGAGGATCTGCCGGTGGAACTAGTAACCCAAACATGTGGCGAAGGTTTTGACTCAAAAACGCGTTACACTCTTGATCCCCCTCCAAGCCTGAGCAACACACCTTCAGAAAGTTTTCGACTGGAGAAAGCAAGACTTGCGGAAACGCTTGGTCATATTGAACAGCAAAGGTTGGAAGAAGCGGTCAAACTACTGAGGTTGTTGGATGAAAGCTCTTTTATTGGAACCCACTATTTAAAGGCTTTGAACGAGGAAGAAATTACCTCAGATCCCAGTGAGAGTGTCACCTTGAAACAGAAGGTTTACAATGAGTTCCAGAAAGCGTGTGACGAGGCAAAGGAGTGCCTAAAAGTGGAAAAAACAAAAGAGCGTGACATGTTCATCCTTCTTATGAAGACATTGCAGGTCAGCAGACAGCCTGTTGATTAGGATAGTATAGAATTACTTTTTTATGGGCCTACTTCCTGGAACCATTAGTACACACGGGCCACACAACCTGTCGGTTTACTTTCAATCTTCAGTGTGTAAAATTTAATCAGAACACGTTAAGGTTGTTTTAAGATAAAATGACTGTGAGGTGACTTCCAACCCTCCATATTACTGCTAAGTTCTTTCAACATAAATAAAACTTACGCAGAGAATTTACGGTCAGACCCTGCACTAATGCGGCCACGCGATGACTTCCGTCCATGGAGAGACTGGAAACATTACACTTTGGTCGAAAATTGTATGCCATTTTCAGCAGAACTGAGGGTCTGTCGACCAGTTTTAGCGGCTAATTAATTGAAACCAGTGGTTCGCAAAACTGTTCACCGAACAACCACGTGGTCAGTCCTTTCAAGCACAATAGATGAAACAATCATCTTTTCAGGGTCAGAACAAACATATGCTATGCAGATAATTCTGTATTTATTCGAACCTCCGCAAAGACCGATAGAATTTGAGAGAAACGATGGGGTGATTGATGCCAATCAACACCTTGTAGCTTAGGGAGGCGGAACGCATGCGCATAGTGAAGGTCAGGCCCAATGGGCTTCCAGTACTCACTGACTTTTCACCAGTAGCTCACGCCTCCATCGTGGACAAGCCGCCTAAAGAGAAACTGGGCAATTGGTTGAGCAAGCAATCAAGCTGGTGCCAGTTTTCCAACGTGCCCCCCCATAAGAGTCCAAAGGATCTTAGTGAAATCCGACTATTCAACATCATGCTACAGCAGTAAGGCGTTAAAGGTATACTTGACTAGAAGTAGTACAAGAGTAAAGGGAGTTCAGGATCCCGATGGAGATTTATTGTGCCTGATTGCTGCCGTAGTACAAATTTGAGCGAATTCGGTCGTATCAAGGTGGTTGTCGAAGCCATTGGAGATCAGGAATCGAAACCATAGTTCGATGGTTTATCGATTAGGACTGCTTTGAAGACACGTTGGAAGTGAAGACGTTAGAGAGTGAGATCTGAACTCGTTGTCACTTAGGTATACTGCATACCTCAGGAGTTTCACCACGAACTATAGACGTGGTAACAAATGATACTACGTCTCACTATTGATTAGTCACACGTGACTTAGAGGTAATAGATGCTGGCATGGTCTTCTGGATAAGGCAGCGGGTTTGTAGGACAGGTTGTTCGTGAATTGAAGTTGTCAAATACGTAGAACGGGTTTACTGCACACAGCTTTACTACCCACAACCCGGAACGTCACTGACTCCAGCTGCCATGGCATACGCATTTGTATGCTACGTAGCGTACAAATTCGCATACAAACTCGCCTAGTGATCGAGGTTAGGTCTGCCCCCTTCCTTGCTTGGTCGTCGCGCGGCAGCAGCATATTCCGGCAGTAAAACTTCTTTTCTTTGAATGATAATCGTCGCCCTCTAAGACAAAGGGCATTTTATGTAGGATAGCGGAGTAAACATCATTTCAATGAAAGATATAAGAACCTTCTGGAAAATAGCACAATTAGTTATGTGCTGTTGTTAGACGTTGGTTTGTTCACCGACTTGAGCGTTTCAACACCATCATAGGAAACATCATCGGTTCGCATCCGATCTCGGATGTTCTACACTGCACCAATAGCACAGGAAACGTTGTTTTCCTTATGGTAAAATTTGAAATGGTAGCATATGTCTCTGTGTTTTACTTACAACCGGAAATCCAGAACCACAAACCCGAGGCTGAACTCGGACTCAAAGAAGAAAGCAACGTAAAAACAAACTACTAAAAATAGGAGTATATCACAACCAACAGGGAAGCCGACCACGATGCAATCAAATTTTCTCGTGAGTAGCGCTCACACTCGCGCAAGCTTCAAATTATATCTTCTCCCTGTAAGATCTATAACTAAGTGAATCACCTCGCTGGAACAATAAATGTTGTGTTCTGATACGAACAGAACAAAATTTCTCGAAATGTTTTGCTGTAAGGTTGCTAAAAGATATAAAATCATGTTTCATTGATAGGAGTGAACCGGAAGTAGCACACAGAACAAACACTAAGCGAACGCCATCGAAATGGGGATTCAAATTCTCGGCCACTTTACCCAATAAATGGCAACTAAACAAAGGTACAAAACCACATGAACATGTCGCCCGATTCCGGGAGTTTTAGATTTTATTTCAGCCGCTTCATCCCCTCCAAATCGACTCGCGTGAAGTTGGTTTATCTCTTTTCTGCTACTTCACCACTTGTGTTTCAGACCAGCCCTGGACCCAGTTTGGTGAAACAGAACAGTGGTTGTGGTAATATATCTCGCGGATTTCGCTATCCGGTTGAGAGTGGGACTTCAGGCTGGCGGCTAGTTCTCTAAATTTACCAGGCAGAACAGAAACTAGAGTTTGACTGGGCGGGGGATTTATTTATTAAAATGTCCGATTCCTCTGTCCACTGGTTTCAATGATTCTGGGCGTGAAAGTCAGTGTTGTTGGTTTCCTCATTTTGTGAGTTGATGCAGCCTTCAGTCCAACTGAGGCCGCATCGTACAGCGATGCGTTCGATCACCGTAGAACGCGCACGTGACACACACAACTGCATCAACCCCGGTATGCAATTAAAACACAGTGTGTCAGTTTCAGGTGACTTCTGGTTTGCTTGGCTGTCGTATCTTCTGAAGTAAGAGCTATTCGTTAAACAGTAACGAGCACACGTTTATCAATGCGTGGCTGGACGCACCGAGGTACTACGAGCACCACACTCGCAAAAAAGTCTGTTTCAAATGGGGATCATTGGTTTCGCGCAGTGAGCAAACTGAAAATTCCGATCAACTCTGATCGCTTGACGAGATGTTTGACGAACCACTGTTGCAATTCACGGGAGTCAGTAAGTAGAATGAAGGATCATGTGAAATATTCTTGGAACCGATTGGGTAGTCATCGTTTTCGAAAAAGTTGGATAATTGAAAGATTCCCTGCCGGTTGAATGGAGTAGAGACTGTGTATAAAATTAACTGCAACGATTGCACTAAGGTTTATATAGGACAAACTGCCAGGGAATTGCACACCAGAATTGGTGAGCATAAAAGAAGGATTAACAAACCACCAAGGAATGTGGAAGGATACCAAACGCTGGTCAAAGACAGCGATGGCGGTACACGCCTTAGACACGGGACATAGAATAGATATGGAGAATGTGGAAGTTTTAAGTCGGGGACTGCGATTCACA